AGACCTGCAACACACGGCAGGTCAACCCCCAAGCTACGATCATAAGTGTATGGAGAACACAACTCCATGACACATCCTCACTCAAAATTTTCTTAYAAGCTAGACCTAAGTCTACCTTTAAGTCAGTGCTTAAGATGAAGGTAGACCAACTGCAAAGTCTCCCCTATTCTGGGTGGATCGCCTGAATCACCTATCAAAATATAATCTATCTCYTCTAAACTAAGAAAATTTTGGCAGCGCTTCCCGTAGGAAAAGTGCCTTTTCATAATTTATATAAGCCTAGATATGGGAGCAGAAATAATCTCTAACTCCTAGAAAGTCAAATTTTGTGTAACTCTCTGAATTAGTAGAAATTTGGGCAACACTCCCTCTAGAAAGGGAGACTTCCCAGATTTATACTAAGTTTGATATGAAAGCAAAATCAATCTCTAACTCTGGAAAGTCAAATTCTGTCTAACTCTCTGAATTAGTAGAAATTTGGGCAGCACTCCCTTTAGAAAGGGAGACTTCCCAGATTTATACTAAGTCAGATATGAAAGCAGAATTAATCTCAAACTCTGGAAAGTCAAATTCTGTCTAACTCTCTGAATTAGTGAAAATTTTGGCAGCACTCCCTTTAGAAAGGGAGACTTCCCAGATTTCTACTAAGTCAGATACGAACTCGAACAACAGCTCGAGCTCAACTTTTAGACTGAATTTAACTAACTTCTTAATTTTGCAGAAATTTCGGCAACACTCCCTCTAGAAAAGTGTTATTCCAAAATTTATACAAGGCTAAGTTCAGAATTTTGAGCCAATTTTGTCTAACTCCTGAGACAAAAAATCCTCCCTCAAAATAAACAAGAATTTAAACGCCTTCAATCAGGCAAACCCCCAAAGTTAACTAGAGCAACCAGGCCATTCCTCATGGAAACAATGCCTGGTTTCCCAGAAAACAACTAAATAAACACAGCAACCAGGCCATTCACCTTGGAAACAATGCCTGGTCCTTCAGAAAACAGTCAAATAAAACACAGCCTTGAGTCATTCACCATGGAAACAATGCTTTGGCTTTGGTTGACCCTTCCAAACGCATGCAGTCTACCTTCCTCCCATCTTCCCCCAGTTCATCGCTTCATCTGCTTTCAATCAGAACAAAAATAGAAACTTAGGCTTCACTCTCACACATTCTTTCCAGATAGTCTGATTAGTCCTTAAGAGAAAGCAAAAACCATAAGGACAAACGCATGCATACAACAATCATACTGCAGGGAGATAGGCAAACATGGGTAGTAGTGGGGTTTATACAGATAAAGATGATTTACCTGAAGGTTCCCTGCCTCCAGAACCTCGCCTAGGTTCCGGCAGAGCTCCCGCAATCGGTGGGTGGACTTCCCACAAAGTCTTGATGCGGACCTACGGGTTGCAATCCCGCCTGCCGCCTTCCTCTCGTAGCCAGTAGACTAAACTTAGATTAAGAAGGGCAGAAGAAGAAGGATCTTAGACTCTCAGATGCAGAAGTGGTGCTCTCAGTCTCACAAGAGAGGGCCTTGTAATCTTGGATCGCCTGAGGGCCCCGCAATGGCGACCAGTTATCAGCTCAGTTAATGAAGTTGCGGCTGCTGAAGTAACTCTCCTTACGCTATACCGCCACCTTTCTTAATGCATCTGCAGCCATGCTGTGCAGAATAGCCTTACTCAAAACATGCACTTTGTGCTTGCTCCGCGTCAAAAATATAGGAGTACACAACGACCTTACGCAGCAAGGCGCAGGGGATGCAGTGAGTACAGCGACATACTGGCCTGTATAGTAATCTGTCCGGTCTTTCCTGCAACTTGCACAACCACCAGTAGTGACTGCTGCAGCAGCCTGTACCCCGCGATACACACTATAGTCCACAGCAGACACCGTAGCGAGCTGTGGTCGCACAGTAGTTCAACTACTTTTTTCGCCTGCAACACTACCTAGCAGCAAACGCAGTGGCATCCACCACAGTCAACCCCAGCAGCAGTAGCTAGTAACAGCCCGCAGCAGTTTGCTTTRGTCGGTASCAACTCCAACYGGGCACTSARCAAAKGACACAACAACASTRTGCCTARTAGACCAATAACGGTCTAACTGGCCGCAGTCCTCCCTGCCGCCATGGCAGTCCGACCTCGATCTAGCAACYCGGGGTGTCTTCYAAGGTGCGGGCGGATGTTGAGTACACAGACCACCGCCGCATGCAGGTATGTGTTTCCGCAGTCGGCGTTCATATGGAGCTCAAAATCAGACCTGCTCCAGCAGCTTAATTCTCAGTGTCCTCCGCTCTCACCTACAATTATCTTAAAAGGGTGAGAGTACCTGGCCCCTATCACGGCAAGGTTCAACTGTACACCGAAAAACCAACAGGTAAGTATCCAACTCTGTTGCTGCCTCTTGACACTTCCGTCGAGTTGATGAGCGAGTTCGAACGAAGCTTCTGCTAGGACGTGGAAAGGTACGTTGTCTCACCCACGACTCGCATCACACCACTCCCGCCGACAACATGAGCTTCGCATTGTCCATCTGGTAGGTCCCTACTCCCGTGGCTGCCACACGCTATTCAGAGGAGCATCGCACTGACCAGCAGGTAAGTCCCCACCCTCTACAGAAGCAGCCGGTTAAGAAACGAATGAATTTTCTGCTAAATAACGGTTAGGTGCATCCGAGTCTTTCCTTTTGTCTCCCTCAACCGCGCAGTCCGTATTACTCATGCCGACTAAACTACACCTCAAATCGAAAATCTAAGATGGTCATTCGATTCGGAATGGCCCGAAACCCTCCGTTAAGCATCTTAGATTGTAAAAATCAGCCATGGAACGAACGGGATATGCCATTTCCGCCCCCCTGTCATATCCCCTTTCCGACAGTTCCGTACAACACTTTTTTTTTCACTAACTTTTGATCCACTAACTCCCCGCCCAATCTAACTATATCTTTGGATTCGCCGACCTTAAAAATACTAATCTACTATCTTCTTTCACTCGAATCCATCGAGAATCGAGTGAAATTTTGATTCTTCATTCCCTACCTTCTCTCCTCCCGTCAGTCATTACGCACGACTTTTTCTGCCTAACTCTTTCCTTACTAACTCCTTGCTAATCCCGACTTCATATTCGGGTTCGCCGGCTCCAAATTCTACTAACTATCATCTTCATTCGTAAAAATTGGTCAAGAATAGACCGAGTTACCACACCTTCACACCCTTTCTTTCTCCCGCTCCTTCCGCCATCTCCCCGCGCGGCCCTTTCTCTTCCTACCCCCCACCACACTCCTCCGTTCACTGATTCGCTTTCATCATCGGGTTCGCCCTGGCCCTAAACCCCCGTCTACTACCTTCCCCCACCCGTTTTCATCAAGGAGCGGGCGGGGTGTGCTCCTACTACTTCTGCCATAGCCCTCTCCTCACCGCGGCGTTCCTTCCCTCAGCGCATGTACCCGGTCCGACCCTGCGTCCACGTCCGTCCCCCCCCGTTGTCACTCCCACT